AGTTACATTAAAGCCAAAAAGCATGTAGTAGAACAAGCTAATAAAGCAATGTTTTCTCTCTTAAGAAAAATAAGAGCTCTAAACTTGTCATTTGATTTACAGATAGATATATTTAATAAAACTATTAAACCAATACTACTTTATGGCTGTGAGGTTTGGGGTTTTGGAAACAATGAAATAATTGAAAGAACACAACTTAAATTTATGAAACTTATTCTCAATCTTAAAAAATCTACCCCATCTCATATGATTTATGGCGAATTAGGAATTAAACCGATACAAACAGATATTGATACAAGAATTATCTCTTTCTGGAGTAAAGTTACTGACCCAACTAGCAATAAATTGTCAAATAATTTATATCTCATAATCAATGGTATGCAGAATCAAGGGACTTTAAATTCAAAATGGCTTGATCATACAAAAAGTCTTATTTTTAAACATGGATTTGGGAATATTTGGGAAAATCAATCTGACATAAATAGAAAATGGTTTCCATTAGCATTTAAACAAAGAATACATGACCAGTACATACAAACATGGAATGATAATGTGTCAAGGTCTACAGGCAGTATCAATTATAAACTTATGAAAAGAAATTTCGAAATTAATAAATATTTTCAACTTATACCAAATTATTTTTGTAAAATATTAACATCTTTTAGAACAAGGAATCATAGACTACCTATTGAAACAGGAAGGTGGAGTGGTGTTCCTTTAAATGACAGGAAATGTATTTTGTGCAATGACAATGATATTGGTGACGAATACCACTATGTTCTTAAATGTAAGGCCCTTTCTGAACAAAGAAAACAATTCATCAAGTCATATTTTTATAAAAATCCAAACACAGTAAAATTTTATGAGCTTTTTAATAGTGAAAATAAAAATGAACTTATCAAACTTTGTAAGTTTATTGAAAAAGTTAACAATGCTATTAAGAATAACTCAATTTAGGATAGAAAATAGTTGGTTATCTTTATCAAATATATTACAACAGACAATTTCAAGACTTAATTTCAATTTTCAAAATCTTTTAATGTTAAAACAAATATCAATTCCGAATTTTGTTATTTAAAAAATCTAAATTCTCTATAATGAATATTGTAGTTTATTTGCAAGGAGAATACTATTGTTATATGCTCTGTTGTTCTATGTACATGTATGTTTCATTGTTATTGTTGAAAACTTTTTGGAATTTATTGTTCAACTGAATAGGAAAAGGGAGAAAAACATATCTGCATTGTATTCCAATTGTTACATGCATTGATATTGAAAATATTTACAAAAGATTTGTTATGTCTGATATTATTTATTCATATAAATTTTGGATTAATCTCATTATTTTGAAAATATATATTATCTACTTGCTTTATAATAATAGTCTGTTCAAATTCCCCAATAGCATCATAGTTATTCTAGTAACTGTCAACAAACCAAAAGGTCATATGCCATGTTTACTTATTGAATACTTAAGTAATGTTGTGTAATACCTCACTCTGACTTTGCATGTGTTAGTGTGAGTGTGTGGGTGTGTTTGTGTATGTGAGCCCATTTGACTATATTTGTTTGTATTGATTGTTAATTTGTTTATTATATGTGTTTATTTGTATATTGATGATTTGTTTATTTACTTGTTTCTTTATAAAGGTTTTGAATAGATTTGTATAGTAGGTGCTCAAATATGCAGGCATTAGTCTTATAATACTTTGTGTAATAAATCATGGCAAATTTGTTTGTATGTACATAGGGTTGTCTGTTACAACGTCTGTCTGTATATTATTTTCTTTGTAGTATTTTTTCTTTGACTCTTTAAGACCCCATGTTTATCCCAATCATGATACTGAGAGTATATATAATACCTAGTCATTGCTAAAGATAACTGTGCATATTCATATGATAATTTTCAAAAAAACCCTGAAGTTGTTTCCCCTAGTGATGATGACGAAATAAATACATGTATATTATAACATCAGCTTAAGAAATGAAATAAAAAGAAAACAAAATATCATAAAATCGAGATTTGACCATATGTCTATACATGTATTAAAAATCAATCATGCATAATATATTAAAAGTCTTCCATGTAGCTCTTATTTTTTTTTTCGTTTCGCAAACAGAGCTACGTAGGACACGTTTTTAAGATATTATATACTGTATGTTAATACCTTACAAAAATTATATAAGTAAGCACTCTTAAAGGCTTTCGCTTTTTACTCTCTTTAAGAGTACTGTCAAACAAACAATTGCTATGTCAGTAATATGCACGAATAAAACAACTTCATAGTTCACTATTTGTTATATTTGTATGATTATTTATGTTTGTAAGCAATATATACTATTCTATAACTAAAACACTGTCAATAACATTGAATAATTGATCGATGAAATGAGTCGGTATCTCATGTAATAACTTAACTTCTTCGTTTAAAAATACATGCATATGTTATATTCTCAAGAACTTTGGCTAACCTAAAATGACGCAGGGAAATATGAAAACAAAGATCTACTCACAAAGTAAGGTCAGCCTAGACATCCCTCTCCAATTACGATAATCCACTTTTATTCGAATGAAAAACAACGCACAAAATACATTACAAATAAACAAGTTTGAATATCTTCTTGAAATTACAACATTAAATTGAATATTCCATTCAAAATTAATGTCACTTAAACGTCACGTATCTTTTATTTATTCTTTTGTTCTCAAAATTTCTTATTTATTCACACCTGAAATAAACACGATGTGTCAATCAGTACGAAAACTCATGTACTTGGGGCGGTGATAAAAATAAACCAATCAGAGAGAATACCGAAACGAAATTCCCCTAACCACGTGATCTATTTTTAGGATATGCCATCTGTCAATCAAATGCCCCTTTGAAAAGTTATTGAGTGCATTTCCCACGGTTTATGCAATTAGACTACTTTTTTTTTCTTTTCGATCGAACGGTACTAAACATCTATTTATTACTTATTTATTATTATTTTGTTAAATAAACGCAAACTAAAAAACTATATTTTTTAAATAGGATATATCAGCTTACAAACATAAATCTATATTGTTGTCCTCTATGTTATATACCTATTTTTCATAGTGACCTATTTCTTTTATATGTTTACATATTTGATTTGCTCATGTTTTTGTACATTATACAAACTGAGTGTTATTGTAAATAAAATTGAAAAAATTGAAAATTGAAATTGAAAATTGAGTCTTTTTCTTTACAAATTTGTATTTGAAACAGTCATTTTGAAATGTTTGTAACAGACATACTTTAAAATATGTAACGTATGATAACCCACATTTTGCAAAATCATTATCAGAAGGGCAAACATTTAGATGTCATGCCAATCATGTAAGGATATAATCGTGACATCCTTGTATCTATTTTGGGGAATGAACACAATTTCAATTCTAAATGTGTCATGAGAATTTTGCCATACTTGCACTAAGATATAAATAAAAATTGTTTTACTTAAACTTTGTCGATTTATTGCGGGTTGGTATAATGACATGGCTGTGTCCGACCTAGCAAAAATACTATATTCCATCCGAAATATCGGTATGAACAGGCTCAATCAAACAGAGCCTGCAACATTTTCAATTTTGTTGTATTGGAATTTCTTAAGGGATTCTGTTTACTCTATTTTGTTTTTTTAAAAACGATTTTTAAGTTGGGACAATTATGTTATTGTCAACGTCTAGTTGATCCATTTAGCTGCAATTTGATATATAGCTTTATATTTGGCGAGTTCAACCCCTTGTCTATATATTATTTTATGCAGAATATATATATTTTTGGTTTGCAGCCACGGCTGCAAGCCATTTCATTTGGAAAACCTGTTCCGGTTAGGTGGTTTTCTGCTTACATTTATAAGTGCATGATTGAACGGGAAACCAGCTGAAATCGTGCCAATCGCAACTTTTCGGCCTTTTCCGTCACTCTTCGGATTAATGATAATAGCCGATGTACTTCCGATTGCAATCGTGACAATTCGGGCGATTCCGTCATACTGCGGAATCAGACGAAGTAATATTACGGAAATCTAAGCTATTTTAGTTACTTCGGTAATCCCAGTTTGTTTATATAAATAGGATTCCTATTTTTACTTGATTTATTGATTTAAACCGTAATAAATTATAAACGAAATTGTTCCGTTCCAATTCTTTTTCAAGACGCAAAAGTTAGTTTCTTTTATAATTGTTTTTTGTCTGTATTAGTTTTACACAATAGAGGATGTTGACTGTAGTAGTATTCCGTCTTCAAAGGGTGGTCCAAATCACACAGTGCATGATCGAGTTATATTTAGATCTACTGAACTTTGTGAGGTAATCTAAAATAGCCCATGCATATCATTAACCACGTGATGATTTATAGATAGCGCATCGTATCTGGGAACATGCTTATTAATTAAATGAAATGTGCACACTTGTTTCCTTTCAGTATGATAGATCTTCACGTTAGTATTTTTACGATTGATTATTTTCTTTATTAGTTTTATACAATAGAGAATAGATTTCAAATCGTTTTGACAAAAATATTCGTTTTTACAAAAATAAAAACAAATAGATATGTTGGGATGAAGGCACAACTGTGCAAGCCTTTCCTTTTAAAAGGAAACTTTATCTAGAATTACTTTTTTACACTATCCCAGCACTGTGCCGAGTCCCTGTGGTTTCGATGCCCCATATAATGTTTCCACAGTAGGAGACGAGGTCATGGTGTCAGTTTATACCAATTCAACAGCTACACAAACGCTTTCAATATATTCCTATTTAAACAATAGATTTTTCATTCAAACTGCTTTATCTACGATCATGCAATCATCCATTGAAGTATCATATAATATAATAAAGACAATCTATACAATTTATTAAAACAATCTATTCAATTTATTAAAACAATCGCTTAACGCTCAAAGATTTTATGCACATTGCATTCATAGAGTTTATGAATTGCTTTTGTTATTGGTGTGTTAATCAATTACAAAACAAAAATGCGGCTTAACAAACAATTATCAAAGGTAACTATAATGAATTTTGTTTAATTGAACTTTGGTTAATTTAATGATTTTTTTTTTCATTTTGTACCTCAACAGTATTAGTTATCACAATATCATAGATATTTATGAATATATTAAACATTTTACTGTCCTTTTTTATAGCGCATATTCGAATGAATTGCTTAACGGTTAAATCCATATTTTAAATAGCAGCATATTCTGTTCCGGAACTTTTCATTCCGGTTTGTGTACAGTATTTATGTGTAAATTAATAAAAACATTCTTTTTTACAAATTCTCCAAAAACCGACGGTAAGATTATGGAAACTTTTATAAATTTTGTAGAAATATTTCACAAGATATATCTTTCTATTTCTTTAAGATTTCCGTTTATTATATAAATAATTAAAGAAATAACAATGATAAAATGGTAAGAGATTTTATGGATGGAATTAGCAATAAATTTTTTATATTAAACGTTAAACTTCACATAATTGAGGCATTACACGACCAATAATCTACTAGACCCCAAAATGGTTCAAAATAACAAAAATAAAAAGTCATTTCACAATTAATAAACTTTCAGCTACTCTCCAGTATTTACTTACAAATTACTTGAAATATTTTCGAAATTAAACAACCGAATCATTGGGAGTACTTATAGCTGAATGAACCGAAAAGTCATTGTTTATGGTGTCGGATGCCCTTATTTTCAAGAAAGAAACAATTGCGGTTATTACTCTGGAAACAACTAATAAATAACTATCTGTTTTTGTTTGTTTTTGGGTTTTACGTCACATCGACACAGTATAGGTCATATCGCGACGTTCCAGCTTTACTGGTGGAGGAAGACCTCAGGTGCCCTTCCGTGCATTATTTCAGGCACGAACGGGCACCTGAGTAGAACCACCGACGTTCCGTAAGCTAGCTGGATAGCTTCCTCACATGAAAGAATCCAAAGTCCCTGTCGGGATTCGAACCCACAGCGGTGAGGGGCAAGTGGTTTGAAGTCAACGACCTTAACCACTCGGCCACGGACGCCCCAAATAACTATCTATCTCACAAATAATTGATAATACAAGTAGGTTGTTGAATTTGTAAATAGAACAATATTTGGCGGTAATAAATCAGAAACTATTATGCTTTTACAGCAAACTCCGCGAGACAAGCTCTCGGACAAGCAAACAAATAAAGTGACATTATGCCCATCCAAGGGTATATATAAAGTGGACAGATGAAAGTCAGAAATGTATAAATTTTGCCATAATTCCTTTCCATTTTGTAATCTATTGCGCATGAACAATAAATTAATCACATAGTCAACGGAAGTTTCTGTAAAAATCCATTAAAAAGTTTCCTATAACATTAAATTAATATAAGAGTGGGACAGTATTCTTATATTATAGGCAGATTTATATTTCATTCTAAACATTTTCTAATTCAACTGTTAGCCAATCACCATTTTAACAGTCAAGCTTTATAATATATATAGTCAATTCAGCTCAACTTGAAAATGACATAAATGAGCTTAATTTCACTTTAACAATCAATTTTAGTTTAGTTTATGAAAGAAAGATGCAAATTCAGCAGAAAATCCCGCTTTGGCGTTGATTCGAAATAGCGATTTCCTGCTTACAAAACAAGGATCACTGAGTCAAACAATCGATTCCTTGACAAAATTGTCAGAGGTTCTGCTTATAATAATGAAGGTAGTTGAGTACTGAACTTTATAACAGGTAATGCCGACTTTCCCTTATCAAACAACCAACTATTTGTAATTATAATCCTCAACCTGTTTATTTCTCATAAAAAAGGTCGTAACAGGATAAAATAGCACATAAGACCTTCCAATTACACGACAATGTCAATAAGTGAAAATAATAATATAATTTATCACCTAAACATCTACTCAACTAAAAGGTTTCTAGTGGTTTATAGTTAAACTACAAAATACATTTCAATCATAATGTCAAAACTAATAGCAAGATTTATTTTGCGTTTGAATCGATATTCCTGGTTTAGATATATATTACTATAGACGCAATACTTTTGGTGATGTCTAAAGTGATGCATTTAAAACGTCTCGGGAAAGTAATTTCTTTATCATGGTTAAATGTTTTGCAATGTCCTCAAGATTAATGATGATGTGTATGTTCATGGCATTGAGATTCTCCTATGAAAATGTAATGTCCAATCATTACTCCAGGCAATGCCAATATGATAAATAATTGGATTATTTATTAACCATCTGTATTCTTTCTCCCATATTAGTGAGAAAATAATACCAACCTTTTTGTTTATGTTTGGAACGTCTTATCTTTATCTTAAACTTAAATATGATTTTTGTTAGATAATTCTTAAGCCATCTTAAATGTGCCTTCTAACTTAATGTTGCATAACATATGCAATAGGTAGCTCAATTTGCTGAGGTGTTGCCTTTACGGGTAGAGTCATCAGAAATGCAGCCACAGTTTAACCCTGCGTGATCATAAGAGGTGACTAAATGGGTTCGAAATACTGGAGTCTATGCATCTCTTAGCTACAGCAGGTGATGTGGTTTTCACCCTTGATGTTGCTTTAAGTTTGTACCACTCGGGAAATCGTCTTTCCTCTGTTGGAGTCATATGACCTAAACTGTGTTAATGCGCCGTAAAACCATAAAAAGAGCTCAATTTGATTTACTGTTTTACAATTTATTTTTCTAAAGAAAAGCTTAACAATGGTTTAAAAGATGCTGTATATAGACGTTTGAATTTGCATGTGACAATTCATCCTCACAATACAATAGATAACATTGATCTGGTGTTGATATGAAATGCATAAAATGATTTCCTGGAGAGCAATATCATCCATCATATCTCATAAAAATATTACATTTATCGCTGATAAATTCAACCATCAAAATTTATCTCGTGGTAAAAATGTTTTATTACTGCTCGTTAATTATTTAAGTTTCTCCGGAAATCTGGAATGGTTTAAGAATTTAATATTGTCTTAGTATTTCAGAAACAATTAGGCCACTATCAGAGGAGAGGATAGTAACCACAATGACAGACATTGACCACATAAATTTCAGGATGGAGGTATGTATAACAAACAATTAGTTATATACCTATTTTTAATGGCACTTATTTAGGTGTTTTGTATGAGTATTTACCGGTAATTGAGATACATTTTAATTCCAGACTTGAAAAAAAAGAAGAAAAAGCAACACTTTGAAATGTTTAAAAAGATATGGTAGAGACATATTGCCCCATATGTTTAGTTTTAAAGTCACGCTTAGTAAATTCGTCACCTCATGTGTCATTGTTTGTAAAAAATGATATAATATGTAGCTTATTGACAGACAGGGTTTTGCATTATTATACAATAAAAGCCGACATATTTCCATTTTAGTGTAAAAAATATGGTACCGGGTAATTGTTTCAATTCTAGTGACAATATGGCCATCAAAGTATAAATGGTAAGCGTGCAGGGTAAAAGTGAAATACAGTTTGCCATAACTGTTTTAAATTTTGCATTCTACGACGCATGAGGTGGCGCGATAGCTCAATTGGTTAGACCACTGACTGTCAGTCCTGAGACTCCGAGTTCGATCCGGGGTAACATCCATGGGATTTTTCAGAGACACTTTCAATGTTTCCCACCTACCCATTATATATTGTTAAGGAATCCAGGTAATCCTCGCATGTATCAGTGATATACACTGGGCATGTAAAAGAACCAAGGGGTCTATTCAATAAGGGCTAGGGACTGGTTCCCGGAGGCCTTTAATTGTATCTCAAAGCTGTCTCTAGCTTGGAATAAGTGCTTGTACTTTCGTAGGTTATCCTCATTCATTAATATCCCATGTGACAAATGGAAAATTCCATCTGTACCAGACACGTTCAAGAGATTACTAGGATGGGACGGGACAGTCTTATTCTAAATTGATATTTTAGGGAATTTTTATGTTTAATCTTTATTATTTTTATAATTAGTTCGTGACTATCATAAAAGTATTTCGAATTATAACATTAATTAAGCTTTACTTGAAAACGACAATTTGAGTATAATGTCACCTTAAGCTATTTGCGCAAGAAGTCATTAAACGTTGTGTAGATTCTTAGCAAATATTTTCTTTTTTCAGAACGATTCTGATACCAGGTTTGTTTAACCTTTGATTAGATGTGTTTGACCAAAAGGAACTAAGGTATGTACAAACGGACATGACATTGGTAGGGTCAATTGGTATATGTTTTCTTGCTATGTGAATAATTATCACTCTATCATTCTTACATTGTAACAAACTCAGCAAATTGAATGAATTGTTTCACTTGTGATTTTATCATGGAGTCATTATGAATATTGACATATTATGACAAATAAACATGATCGCCACCAAGTTAGCGCACAATGATCTGAAAATTCGTATAAATATAACACATTAATTATATTTTTATTTACAGTATAAACATTTACAATGAGATAATCTACAACAGAACAGAACAGAACTTTTATTTCTGATTTATGGGTTATTCCAAACATCTGTAAAACCAAAGTCACACAAAAGCTTTTGAACATAGGCTACCTAGAAACCTAATTCTTTATTACAACCATTTAATGATAGCTTGTAAACTGAGCGTAAAATAATATTTTCTGTGTGTAACACCTTAAAATGCGTAGAAAACGGGATATGAACAAACGATATCTTCCAAACTCTCCATATACACTAACAGTACAGGTAGTTTTTCTTACTGACAATATGTTTTTACAAAAATTTAAATGTATCCTTTCAATTTGTTCTGATTTTGTAAAGCTCAATATTTCTGAAGAATATTTCAAAATTGAGCCAACAAAAGAATCAAACATGATATTACTACTTTTACAAACCAATATAGCGCTCATTGCTGTTATAAACTCTTTAACTGAGAATACGGAAAACGGGACCGATATGCTTTCTTCAGTAGTACTGTTCATTTCTTGTTTTCATAAAAATGTTTCACAAAAATGCAATAGAACATACTTGTGCTTCATTTCACTTAAGTTATTAAATCCTTCCATTTCAATATGTTCATATCAAAACATTTTTGGACTCTGTCTTGCGCACGATACACTGTCTCACCGTGATCATAATAATTAGAATCCTCTAATTAGAATCCTCTAATTGGCGTCCGCGCCGAAGCGCGGCGCCTATTGGAATGAAATGAGATTTTGTGAAAGGGCGACAGCAACTTCTCGAGCCTTCTATAGTTGCCAATAATAAAAGCCGATCATTCCGATCGGTATGAGGGTGCTTGATTGTTAATTAGTCGCGATATGTACAATGAATGGCGAACTGGAGAATTTCGCAATGCAAACATTTTCAAATGAAATAACCTTTTCCGTCAATAAATCGCGCTCTTCGGGGTATTTTTGCTTATCATTTTGTAGTACACAGTGGGTTATTATGGTATGTTATTCCGAAAGCTGTTAATAGAATGATGAGTTGATGACCTTAATATTCCGAAAATCTATTTATAGAGGGATGTACTCCTAGGTAATTCCCGGTCTCTCCCGGGATTTACCAATGACCGGCGAATAGTACCACACGTTTATTGTCCGGTCTCTCCCGGTTTTGGAGTATATATCGTTACAGAATAGAACAAATATTTTACAGATAAATAAGCTTTTTTTCAAAATGAATGTTTGTCACTTAGTTTGGTTACAATAATTAATAAACACAGATCAACGCTCGAATTGATTGATTATTATTATACATAAACATACAATTCGGAAAAAAAACAATAATTGAGAAAAAATGTACATTTTTATGGCATTAATATGACACTATCAACTTTAAAACATTTTATATAATTTGTTATTCGTGTTTAGTAAAGATTCCGAGGAATTATTCAAAGTTACAAATCAGATTTTATGAATTATTCAATTGATTGATAATTTAAAAAATGATGAAGAAAAATACAAATGTACATGTATATGGTTTAAGAATAAACAATATTATAAATTGAAAGATTAACCATGATTTACTGACTTTTTCCAGTTAAGTTTTGACTTATAATCGTCGATCATTATGACAATTGAATTCTTAAAATAGTAGTAAACGTAAAAACTCAGTATTAAAATAGCGGATAAAACACACACAAAAAAAAGAAAAGAAAACAATATTCATAAAATCTGTATTTTTGTTATTAAAATAGAAATTACATTTATTGTATAATAAACAATTATGCTCAACATGATCAACATGGTAATATAACAAGTGTCATATTGTTACTTAGTGTGAACAGATACCGTAAGAGGGGGTCCTCGTTAATAGCAATAACATAATAAGGGACAATTACACAAGTATGGTGTTGATCATGCGTTACACATATGGATTATAAATGATTGTATACATGTATATCCGTTGCTATTAATAACCACGATCATAAAGAAATAACAAGTAATATTCTAATTTCTAGCATGCCGATCAAAGTTATAAATAATGAACAATGTCTTTCGTCCGTTCATTCAAAAGTGATATACAATTCTGGTAAAACCCAATGAACCATTGAAAAGTTTATAAGAATATCTTGTCATCATATATCTACTGGTTCATCTGCACCTGCTGTTTGGACGCCCTTTGATGCTTTGCATCAATGCTTTTCTTGTAAATGATTCTGTAAAAGAACAGAAAACATTTGTTGTCCCTATTTTCACTTCTTCCTCTCTCCCTATTTTCAGTAAGCTAGCCCGAAATATTGCCCTTCGTCACCTCGTACATCTTTTTTTCATCAATATTTCTCTGTTCAGAATTGATCTCACATACCTGTGAATCGTATGCCTATCCAGTATTGTTTTATTTGGATATCAGTGCAGAGATTCTATTATTCATTCAATAATTACCGTATTGTCGGTAATCATTGAAACTGGATTATATAGGATCCCATCATATAAGGGATGAATGGCTGTTGTAATACTAAACAGAATTGACGGTCACTGATTCATAGCGGTTTTTTTTGTTCAGGTAAAGGGTTTCCCGCGTCATGCGATACCTGAGATATATGGAGGCTATTTGTTGCCAAAAAAAAATCAAGCCTTGTTGTTCTGAGTTGAACATTTTGTTTACGGACAAAATACAATTGTGTTTCTTTGTATGTAAACTCCAATATTGCATTCTTGGATTGAGATTCCCGATTTAACATTGTCAACATGCATTTCAACAAAATACATTTTGTTAAACGACAAAACATTAACTGTTTTGCTGATATTAGTAGCAATACCAAGTGTTCATCTTAACACGCGTAATACTCATTGTTCGTGTATACGCCGACAAAACAGAAGTTACTTTTTTGGTTTTACATTGTCGAACCATCATTATAGGATCAGCATAATCCATGCTTTACACATGGGAGATAAAATATGCTCCGTTTATTTTCCCGCCCACTTCATCATCGTAAATAAACGTATTTATCCGCACATTTTCGGTATTTACCGCCGGCGACAAGAAGGAAACAAGAACACGCACCGTTTACCACAACTTTTAGGTGTTTAGTTATTTACCAAACATAATTCAATTGCCTAATTGCCATTCTATGCCTTTATACAATCACCATCAGCGAACTTTAAAGGATTATAGGCATATAAAATTTAAAACGTTGTTGATACCACATTTCCTAGAAAAGGAAACTGAAAAAAAATGATAAAAAAATCAGGTTACTTACTGCCTGAGGTTAAATATTTTTCAAGGAAGTAAAAACTATTGATAAGACTATATCAACGACAAATAAATTTTACTGAGGGGATTCCTATTTGCATAGAAATGAGTAACAAAACAGTTAAGCTGCTTCCTTACCACTTTCAAATTTTAAAGCCAACATCTGATACAGATTTTGATACGACTAAATACTAATACAGACCAAATTCTGGCTGTTGTCTTTCCTAGAAATAGCATTTACTATTACACTAGTAACCTTAAATTAACGAGAAAAAAACTTTTAACAATAATAGTAAAATTAAACCAAAGTTGTATGTACCCGTTCGTACATTACTTTTTATTTTAACCATACTGTATATACCTTTTTACAATACGATTTTCCATAGCAACGAATGTTGCATTTCGCGCATGCGCATTCTGCGTAGGGCAGAAAGCAATAACGATGTCTACAGTTTATCATACTTTAAGGCTTCAATAGATGCTGTTTCATGTTATGTCACCCAAAAAATATTAATTTGGGATGAATTAAGGCGGTAAGTACAGGAAACGTGAATTTATTTTTTAAGAAATCTACGAAAATGTGCGGGAGTAATAATTCAATTATCAAAACGGACACACACATATCTTTGTTCAAGGTATCATTAGACGACTTTTCCATCAGTTATTTAAATTGTTAAAGATAAAATTTTATTACCCCTGTATTACATAATATTACACAATTTGTATTGTACACTTCCTTTAAATAACTGGATTGGTAAGGCGGCAAGTTTCAAACAGATTGGCACCCGAACGTTTGTTCATTGAACCGGGACGTTTAAATATCATGATATAGTTAATCAGTTACGCTTATTTCATGCTTTCCAGTGTTTTATTGTAATATATCAGATGATTATATTCTGATAAACCACTAGTGAAATTTATAAAATATAATTTTCACTGTAGCCGGACTATATCTGACTGCGGATGAAAAGAAAATCATAACTAAATGGAATAACAGGCAGAAATAAATGCTGTCATGCGTAAATTTTGCTTCTCTAGGAAAAGAAAGTCGATGTCATCATACATCATGTAAAAAATGTAACAAAATTAGAGAAATTTAACAGAACTATATTTCAAAATTGATGATGTGACGTCATGATATGATGACGTCACAAAGGCGAATGCGTGACGTTACGCGGCAAAATCAGTAACAAAATACTTAAAATGACTTAAAAAGCATGAAATAAAAAGAAAATTTATTTGTTTTACATATAAGATTGAAATATATTTCATTCGTGAACACCAGCTATCATATTTTCACTCGTGGCTACGCCACTCGTGAAAATATTACATCTGGTGTTCACTCAGTGAAATTATATTTCAATCTTACATGCAAAACAAACAAATATCCTCTATTTATTAAAATGTTAATTTATGTATTTTTAGCTCGACTATTCGCAGAATAATCGAGCTAATGCAGTCACCCATT